ACTTTTGGGGGGCACACCACACTTTGGGCAGGGAGGGGAAATTCCACCGTGAAATCACGGAAGATCACAGCAACCAAAATGTCTGCCGTTCTCTTGCAATAAACAACAGGGTGTCTCAGTTTTTCCGGGACACTTGCAGGGTATGCTAAAACCACAGAGTCTTTCCTGTAGGATGGTTTCCATAGACATTTCAGCTTTGCATTAAAGCATGTGTGCCAATAAAAACGAGAACATCGGGATTGTAGCTTTAATCACATTGAGTTCACAGGAGCGAGGAGAACTCTGAGAGGGGTCACAGTGTGGACACAGAACCGTGGACACATGGACAGAGATTTTGCTAGCACGCAGAATGGCAACTCCTTTTGTTGCCGATGAATGACAGCCTCTAGGGTCACACCTGTTGCACGCATCCCCGACGTGTGGGATGCACAAGGACTGCGTGTCGTCATAGCACACATTTCCCCCTGGGCCAGGGACTCAAAGAAGGCTTCAGCACAAGAGTCAAACAGCGCAGATATCCCCAATGACCCCAGCTCGAATTGGTTCAAGTGTGGGGCTGATAATGCCAAGGTTGCAGGTATGGGAGTAGCTGCATGTTCCTACATTGCAGGGAGGTTGGCCTAGATGGTCCTCAGGGGTCCCTTCCAACTCTATGATTCTTTGACCCCACCTGGAGGCACCCAGAATTTTTCCGAATGGACTTTTAGGAGCATAAGAAGCTGCTTTAAACTGCATCAGATCATCTGTCTATTGAGCTCAGCTTGTTGTTTATTCATTTAGTCGTGTCCGACTGTTCGTGACCCCATGGACCAGAGCACGCCAGGCACTCCTGTCTTCCACTGCCTCCCACAGTTTGGTCAAACTCATGCTGGTAGCTTTGAGAACCCTGTCCAACCATCTCATCCTCTGTCGTCCCCTTCTCCTTGTGCCCTCCATCTTTCCCAACACCAGGGTCTTTTCCAGGGAGTCTTCTCTTCTCATGAGGTGGCCAAAGTATTGGAGCCTGAGCTTCACGATCTGTCCTTCCAGTGAGCACTCAGGGCTGATTTCCTTAAGAATGGATACGTTTGATCTTCTTGAAGTCCATGGGACTCTCAAGAGTCTCCTCCAGCACCATAATTCAAAAGCATTAATTCTTCGGCGATCAGCCTTCCTTATGGTCCAGCTCTCACTTCCATACACCACTACTGGGAAAACCATAGCTTTAACTATACGGACCTTTGTTGGCAAGGTGATGTCTCTGCTTTTTAAGATGCTGTCTTTAAGATGCTCAGCTTAGATTATACTAACTGGCTGTAGCTCTCCAGTGTGACATCCAGGTGACATCCCCAGCCTTACCTGTAGGTGCTGGAGGTTGAACCTGGGGGCCATCTACATGCAAAACAGATACTCTAATACTGAGCTGCAAAAATTAATATATTCTAACTATTCTTATTTCATGTCATTAGCCTAATGGACTGTAAGTCGCTTTGGGTTGCCTTGGGCAAGATAAAGCATCTGACAAGTTTAATAGATAATAATCTCTTATCCAAACAGAGTTATTATGGCAGCTCTTCTTTTCACATGATCATGGGTTTCTATGCTCCTGTTTCCTGCCTTATACAGAGGCTGCATATATTTCAGTATCACTGCCGTCATCCAGTCAGGACTATGACTCACAGATTCCACAGCCACTGCCAGATCTCTATAGATGACATTGCAATTATCTTATTAGTTTCTGTCCCAGAAACTTGATGTTTATGTTTCTCGAAGCACGTTAGGCTGAGTCACTGGATCATCTGACCCAAACCCAGTTCTGCTCCTTTGCTTTTCAAATCCATTGGCTGCTTAATAACTTCTCCGATCTCTTTGTAGAAAACCCTTCAGGAGGGTTAACTTCCACCCCCCCCCATGCTATCAGAATGATTCTTTAAGAAACGAGGTCAAACAGATACATGGCTGGGCTTTTGAACAAAACCTTAATGTTTAAGGAAAATTCTAATACTGAGAGGATTTCCTTTGTAAAGGGTTCTTTGGAAACGGACTGCAGCAACAGGTTTTAGAGAGAGACCAGCTGCAACAGGGATGGGGAACTTTTCTTGCCAGCCTGAGGGGCACATACTCTTCCGGGGAAGTTTATGGGGGCCACATGCAAGTGGTTGCCGGGCCAGAGGGCAGAGCAATGAATCTGATTTTTATTTTATTTTTTGTATAGTAGGCTAATTTCTACACACCAAACATCCTCCCTCTTCCATCCAGGCAAGCCAGAAGCCTATCAGAGTTCAAAGACACATTCCATCCTGCCAGGGTTAGTGAAGAGTGTGGCTTGGTAAGAGTCCCACAGGCCAGACAGAGAGGACTGGAAACTCCGTTTGGCTCCTGGACCTGAAGTTCCCCATCCCTGAACTACAACCTAGACTTCGTACAGCCATTGTTTTTAGCACTGAAACAGCTTTAATTGCAATGGGGAGGACTTTTGCCCAAAAGGCAGCATATACATATTAAAATGAATAATAACCTTAAATAAATATATTTTCTGAGAATCCTCTGGAAAAACAATCTCTCAAAGGACCTGTTGATGGCATTTTAGCATTGTACTGTTGAGAGTGTATTAACTTATGGCCTGTGTGTGTGGTTTGGGAGCTGCACAGTCAGGGGAGAAACAATGCTGTCCAGGGTTGTAAAGACTGCAGAGAGAATAATTGGGTGCACTCTTCCCACCTTGGATCAAATCTATGCTTCCAGGTGCCATAAGAAAGCTGCAGAGATAGCGCACCCTGGAAACGATCTCTTTCATCTTCTGCCTTCTGGAAGAAGGTACAGGGTTATAAAGACTAGAACTAGCTGCCTAAGAAACAGTTTCTATCCAAATGCAATTTTGGTTTTAAATGCAGTGTAAGGAGTCTCTATGGGAGTATATTGTATTTAAAAATGGGGTATCAGAGTTTTTAGGGGGCTAACCAGGTTGGGATAGCTGGGATAGCAGGCTTGTTGGTTTTTGAATGTCTTTTGTAGGTTTTTTTCAATTTCGTTGTTCTGTATGGGACAATGACAATAAAGATTATCGTATCGTATCAAATAGAGCCACTCCTGCAAGCAGTTTTTCACCTCGCCAAGGGCATTTCCGGTCCCCAAAGTGTGTTATTAGAAAAGTGGCTCAGAGGGATGGCTGTAAGGAAAGTTCTGCAGCTCAGTGGTAGATCAACTGCTTTGCGTGCAGAAGGTTGCAGCTTGAATCACATGCATTTCCAGCTAGGGCTGAGAGAGATTTGTATCTGAAATCCCGCTGCCAAACAGTACTGGCTAGATGGACCAATGACTTCAGTATAGGACAGCTCTGTATATTCCCATCAGTGGCGTAGCGTGGGGGGTGCAGGGGGGGCCGGCCGCACCGGGCGCAACATCTGGGGTTAGGGCAAATCCATGGGTTAGGGGGCGCAAATCCACAGGTTAGGGGGCGCAAATTACTTGCCTTGCCCCGGGTGCTGACAACCCACGCTACGCCACTGATTCCCATACAAGAAGTAGTGGAATGGCCTCTGAACCACTTCTTACCTGCAACCTGTCTTGCTCTACAGCAGTTTGGTGTGGCCTGTGTTGAAAATGCGGGTCTTCCCACAACCACCACACATCGCTCCTTCCTTAAGATATCACCAGCACTTGGAAGTCAGTTATCATGAGCACTTTCTTAAAACTGCATTCCGAAGCAAAATATAAATGCTGCCTAGCAAAGCAAATCTCAATATCTCACAACCTCAATATTTACTCATTGATTAAGGTGCAAATTCAAGAGGCATGCTGTCATTTTCCTAAGGTTGATACGAGCACTGGTTTCTCTCAACTCCCTGGTGTTAGCCGCCCTGAGCCCGGTCTTGGCTGGGGAGGGTGGGGTATAAATAAAATGTATTAAAAATGTATTATTATTATTATTATTATTATTATTATTATTATTATTATTATTATTTTGTAATGCTGCAAAACTATATTGCCTCTGGATCCTGATGTAGCTTTGCTACATGGAGGTGGGGGGGGAGTAAGTCCCAAAAGCAATGGGGAAAATAGAGGTGGCAGTGCCTGCAACCATCCAGTCTAGCATGCCTCCCAGCTGTGGGACGCGGGGGACCACCGAGCCTCTTGGGCTTGCCAATTGGAAGGCTGGCGGTTCGAATCCCCGCGATGGCATGAGCTCCCGTTGCTGTGTCCCAGCTCCTGCCAACCTAGCAGTTCGAAAGCACGTCAGTGCAAGTAGATAAATAGGTACCACTGCAGCGAGAAGGTAAACGGCGTTTCTGTGTGGGTACTCAACACAGTGTTCTGTTGCACCAGAAGTGGTTTAGTCATGCTGTCTGTCTGTCTCTGGACAAACGCCAGCTCCTTCAGCCTGAAAACGAGATGAGTGCCACTACCCCACAGTCGCCTTTGACTGGACTTAACCATCCAGGGGTCCTTTACTTTTACCTTGCCTCCTAGCTGTGTTAGTGGGGCAAGTTTAAGGGGAAACAAAAAGTAACACATAAGCAATGGAAGCCAATTTCAGTCCGCTATAAAATGCAATTTTATAGTGCATTTCTTAATATGCTCTGTTGTTTTCACTAATATATACATTTTTGCATGCCCTTTTTCTCATTGTGCACTTTTTAAATGCATTTTTTTCATTGGGAAACAGCATTGCAATATCTGAATGGGACTTTTACAGGATAACTATTTTTCAATTCATGCATTCATCTGTGAATGAGGCCGTTTCGCATCAAAATGTGAACCTATCAAATTTCTCTCCCATTCTCACAAGTAACACCAAATCAGCAAGTTTTCTTGCATAGCTGTCAACCTTCCCTTTTTTTGCAGGCAATTCCCTTATTCCAGCGCCGTTTCCCACTGCTTCCCGTTGCTATCCCGGATTGTTAGATATCCCGTAGACTGTCCCCGGGACAGATGAGGCTGCTGATCCCTTATTTTCAAATCTGAAAGTTGACAGCTATGCTTGTATGAGCTAAGCTTCAATCAAGTTTGAGATTTCTTGCTAGGTTCAAAGGCAGTGAAACCTTTTATTGATTTATTACAAGGCATGTAAATAGTCCAAAAGACATCATATAGAAAACAGTAATAAAATCGTTTTTCTTAAGAAATCACTTAATAAATACATTTCAACACTATGTCTCCCCCTTCCCTCCCACTCCTAACAGTTCACCCATTAAAAATGCAAATAGTTGAAAGACAATAAATAGAAAGTTACAATGGCATAATACAAACGTGAGATTTCAGCACAAAATCTCTTTGTGGTTTATTAGAAAAGGAGGTTTTCTTTCCCAAAACTTGGCATTTTGCACTTGATTTTATGTTTTACGTTTCCTACTTTTCTATCAATATAAACAATTTTGTGTTACAACACAACAGAAAGTTGTATTACAATTTTCTCCCATACCTATGTTTTTTAAGAGAATCAAATGGCTCCAGATGCATCAAGGAAACACTTCAACACTTATTATACAGTTACCATGAAACCCTGCATGTGGTTTTTAGGGCTACATTAGCCATTAGCAGTTAATATCGCCAATATTCTAACTACAAGTATCCATTTAGTGAAATTCACATTCATCTCCCATAGTGTTCTGTGGCAATGTAACCCACTGTAAATAATGCTCCCATTTAACCAAACACTTGAATATCTGACTGCAGTTGATATCTTTCTATTCATTGGGATAAATGATATCAAACCAACAAAGATTTTCAGCTGCGGGCACTTAAGAAAGTCAATTGGTTGATTAGGGAGAAGGCATATCTCGTGGGAACCCTTTTTCATTGGCTTACAGAATTAGTAAGAAATAACAAAAAGATGGCATCCATTTTATAAAAGATGCTTTCTGATTTCTTATACTATTATCTAAAAGGCAACAAGGGAAACAGTTTTCTCCCCCCTTGGACACGTCTCATTGTAAGTTTGGAATGTTATTGTTTATAAGACAAAAGTTCTGTCCCGCCCCAACCCAAACACACTCACACACTTAAACTATAAACTGGAAAGTATAAATGGCATTTCTTCATCCTTGCATGCATTAGGCTGTCCTTATTGCTGGCACATTTCATCAGAATAATCACAACTGTGAGTCCAAGTCAGATTTGCATTTCTTGTTGACCAATCTAATATAGATTGGTTTATTGTTCAGAAGAGAGTTGAAGAAGGTCCAGGAAAGAAAATGCTCAGGATGATCCAATGTTCCTAAAGGACAGAGAGATCGTGGCAAGACTTGGACTTAAGTTTGAAGGCCATGTTCTTGTTCTTCTTGGCTACGATTTTGCCCCAGAATCGCCTGGCTTTCTTAGGGATGCTCTCCCTCCGCTTCTGATATGCCAGCCTCCTTTCGTTCTTCTCTTTGCTGTCTCTCCTGAGCCGCACTTGACGCACAATGCCTTCAAACAGCTCCTTCACATTGTGCTGGACGGCCGCCGAGGTCTCAATGAACTTGCAGTCGAACACAACAGCACAGGCCCTGCCCTCTGCAAAACATTTGAAGGGGATTTGTCATTGTACTAGCTGGAGAGCTCAGGTGACTGCACATTATTTTAAACAATGGACAAAGAGCCAATGAGCCGGGGTAGATTCATAAAAACAAGAGCTGGTGTTGACAACAACCCAGAGAATCACCCACTCCAATCCTTTGCCTTAAGACGGCGTATCATATAATCAGGGCTACATTGGTTGCTGTGCTAAATGTGATCAAAGTTCTACCCCAGCAGACTCACATTCTAAGACAGGAAAAGCTGAATTCAGAGCCAAGCATAAATTATGCAAATATAGCAAATTTAAATATTTTTTCTTGTCCGCTTCCGCCATCCATGGTGGCACTGAATTCCACCATCTAAATAATGGGACTCCTTTTCAGCCACCACACTTTGGGCTTCTGAGATTTCAAATTTTGCTAGAAATTTTGCTAGAGATTTACCTTTTGCCTTTGAAGAAGAGAGCTGAATGAACAACAGAAAATCCCAGGCACCCAGCCTGTCTCCACCACTTTTGTGAAAGCTTCCAATCATGGGGTTTCTATAACAGCCTTAGACAGCCTATTCCGTGGCTAATTTTTGGTAATAATTATATTCCAACCCCTGCTTCAGTGTTTACTCATTGTCCAACCCCAAGAGTATTTATGTTGTACTGTACCTATGAACAGGGCTTATCTTAATTCAGTTAGCTGCCATGACATTTCCCTAAGAAATGGGGGATGGGGAACTTGTGGCCCTTCCGATGTTCCTGGACTACAACTCCCATTATCCTTGACTATGCTGGCTGGAGCTGATGGGCACTGGAGTCCATCAATATCTGAAGGGCCGCAGATTCCCATCCCTACCTTATGGCTATAGGTTTTGTGAGACCGTTGACATTTGAGAAGATCCACACGATACATTTAAAGCACATCCAACACACGTTGAAAGCAGGAGATTTCCCCCAAAGAATCCTGAGAACTATCATGTCTTAAAAGGTAAAGGTACCCCTGACCGTTAGGTCGAGTCACGGACGACTCTGGGGTTGCAGCGCTCATATCGCTCTACAGGCCGAGGGAGCTGGCGTTTGTCCAGAGACGCCAAATAGTTTGTCCATGTGGCCAGCATGACTAAGCTGCTACTGGTGAACCAGAGCAGCACATGGAAACGCCGTTTACCTTCCTGCCGGAGCGGTACCTATTTATCTACTTCCACTGTGTACTTTTGAACTGCTAGGTGGGCAGGAGCTGGGACCGAACAACGGGAGCTCACCCCGTTGCGGGGATTCGAACAGCCGACCTTCTGATCAGCAAGCCCTAGGCTCAGTGGTTTAGACCACAGCGCCACAGTACATTTCTTAAAGGTACTGCAAATTGTAGCTCTGCGGTTCCCAGGATCCATGGGGTTTTAAGTGTGTGCGTTGGGTGTGCTCTAAACATATGGTGTGGCTCTGCCCTTATCCTATCTCCCATGCAGAATGAAATTTTCCAAGGTTTCTCAGGAGAAAGACACAGCTGAACATGTTGTTGTTTGTAGCGTAGACATATCTAATATTACAAACCCTCTGAGAAGGGTTAGTGTCAAAAGTGTAGAAGCAAAGCAAACAGCACTACCAATTGACATCTAGTAGCTCCTACCTGAAACAGAGACTTCCCGGCACCTAACGAGATCACTTTTGTTGCCCACTAAAATAATGGGGATGTCTTCTGTCTGGCGTGCCCTGCGGAGCTGTATCCTGAGCTCAGATGCTCTCTCAAAGCTTGCACGGTCCGTGATGGAATAGACAATCAAATATGCATCCCCAACTTGCATGCAGTGATCTTGGAGCCATCCGTTTTCACCCTGTTTAAATAAAATAATAATAATAATAATAATAATAATAATAATAATAATAAATTGTATTGCGTGTCAACAAATACTGGGTGTCTTAACTGGAAGACCTGCGTCTCTACAGGAAACAAACAAAATATTGCCACCACATGTTTTCATTACTTTTGGTATGTAGCTCAGGGTTACAGAATGAGTGCTGCATTATGTGGTCATTGGTTAGCTTGTGGCTGAAGCCTGCATCTAAATTCTGCATTTGACCATCAATATATCCTTTGAGAGACAGAGGAGGGATCCATTTCAAACCATCAGACTGTCTCTTGCAGCACCAAGTGCCCACTTATGTCTAAGCTGCTCTCGCATTTGTCAATATACAATTGACTAATTAGATGCAAAATGAGATGCAAACCCTCCATATATTTATACACTGAATATGTATAAAAAAGTAAAATCCTCTGTGCTACTATATTGTTGCAGCATAAGTTTATAAGTATTAATACATAAGTATTTTATATGTTATATGCACTGCTGGGTGTGTTTATGTGCTGTTACTTTAGGAAATGTGGGGTGCATATAATATTATACATATGTGTAATGTGTGGAAATGCTTTGCATTTTTATAGGAACTGGTAAAAAAACTCCAATTTGCTTCCCTTTGAGATCAAGGAGAGAGAAGGGAACTAACAAAATGGAATATCAACATCAAGGCTTTTTTAAAAAATCAATTCTTGCTCCCTTTTCTCTGCTTCCAAACATACAGTAGCTGGATGTGTTTATGCAGAGATATAGCAAAAAACACTTTGCACCTCATGGGGAGACCAGATGCAAAGGAAGGCATGGCACCTGGGTTGGGTAGAAGGAGAAATTCAGAATGTACATCTTCTCTGCTCTCTTCTTAGTTTATTTTGTTTATTTATTATATTTATACTCTGCTCGTCTCTCAAAGCAGTTTACAATGGTAATCCATCGGAAGATGCAACAGAAGTAATTGGGTGTCCATGGGGTACGTTTGCAAAAGGCCATTGCTCAGTAGTTGAGCTTCTGCCTTGCATGCAGAAAATCTCATGTGCAATCCCTCGCATCTCCAGGCAAGGCTGGTTAAGACATTTGGTTGAACCCTGGAGAGTCACTGCTAATACTGAGCTAAATAAATCAATGGTTATCATGTGGTTTATCATATGACTCAGTATAAAGTAGGTTCCAAAGGTGTGTATGTGTAGTAATGTCTGCTTTTTCTACACGATGAAAGGATAGTCACCAAATAGTGCTGTATCAGTCAGGGCCTGAGAAACTGGTGCTGCCTGTTTATGGAGATGATTGGTTTATTGGTTTGTTTGTTGTTCATATAGGATATTCTGTTTTTTAATGTTTGATGCTTTGTTGTGTTTGTATATATGTTGTAAGCCGCCCAGAGTGGCTGGGGAAACCCAGCAAGATGGGCAGGACATAAATTAAATTATTATTATTATTATTATTATTATTATTATTATTATTATTAAAACCTAGGTCATGAATCTTTCCTCCACCACTGCCACTATTTCTATAAGTGCACCGATAACAACGCCTATTAAGTTCTAGCAATGGATGGCTGCCAGAAAAAAAGGTGCATTATGTCTTCATTGAGATTTAAGTTACAGCTCACAGACCCATTAAGAGAGTCCTTAGATTTAAGTAAATTTATGGCCAGTTCAGGCAACCTTTAGGAATGTGCCACCCCCTTAAAAACCCCCAGAAGTGCCGGCTGATGGTGTGGAACTGCCACCCTGTGCAAGATTAGATCTTTGAAAGACCAGATTTGCAGAAGTGGATGAAGTATGTAACACTTCAGTGGTGGTTAGTTCAAATGCCCACGAACAGTGGCCCCGTGGAACTCAACCTTTAGTTGAGTTGTTTATCAGTTATACTGTATACCATTTTTCTATTAAAACAGAAATGACTGCATTGCAATAAAACAAATAAGAACAAAGCAATGCTCCACAAAATTGCAATATAATAAAAGAACGGTAAAATGTTGCTCAGTTAAAGAAAACAACCGTAAAAGAGAGGACAAGGGGGACCTATTCAATAGGTGTGCACTCGGTATGACTTATTTAGATATCAACGGTACTAAAATGTGATAAAGAACACATCATTAAATGCAGGTTACTGAAAGCTACCATTGAACAACAATGTCAGTTTACTATTAAATATAAGAAGAGAGGGAGCCTGGCTAATCTCCCCAAGAGAACGTTCCATAGCCCTTATACCACCACCAAAAAGGCCCTGTCTCTTTTCCACCATCCACCTGATCTCATATATGGATGGAACAGACTGATGGGACTCTGAGGCTGATCCCTAAGGCAGGCTAGGTTCACATGGGAGCACCAGGCAAATATGATTGATCCAGCCCACCAGCTGCTGTTATTCAAGAGCTCATCTCAGAGACTTCTAATCATCACAAAGGCCCCTTGAAACTTTTTCAAGTTTTGCTTCTCAATATTGGAGAACATCTTGGCTGTGAGTCTTGGAAGACCTGCTCCCTGCCTTGCAGGCCTTTTCCCACCTGGCCTGGGAGGGTGGGGCGCTGACTGACTCCAGCTACAAAAGCTGAGGCTGCTGAAGAGGCCAGAGATCATCTTGGCTGTCTCATAGTGCAGACACAAGTCATTGAGCCTGAGCTGCCGCCACCATTGGCAGGATTGGTAGCAACAGCGGCAGAGATGTTCTATGCTTATGAGAATATTTAAGTTTCTTGATAATTATACAGTGGTGCCCCGCAAGACGAACGCCTCGCAAGATGGAAAACCCGCTAGACGAAAGGGTTTTCCGTTTTGGAGGCGCTTCGCAAAACGAATTTCCCTATGGGGTTGCTTCGCAAGACGAAAAAATCTTGCGAGTCCCCGCGGGTTTTTTTCGCTCCCCCCCTTTTCCTAAGCCGCTAAGCCGCTTATCAGCTGATCGCGAAAAGCCGCTAGACTGCTGTAGCGCTAATCTGCTAAGCCGCTAATAGGGTTGCTTCGCAAGACGAAAAAACCGCTAGACGAAGAGAATCGCGGAACGGATTATTTTCATCTTGCGAGGCACCACTGTATGTGCATTATATTTGACTTCCTTTAGTAATGTTTTCTTTTGAAATGTTTCAAATAGGTTTGGGTTTTGTTTTTTGCTGCATTAAATGTTCATTCTGTAATTGACCTCCTATGTAATGTTTTATTTTGAAATCTTTTAAGAGAATGTTTTAGTTTTAGATTAGATTTTAATTTTGAAATCTTTAAGATAATGTTTTAGTTTCCTGTTAATTATGCTGCATTGAATATACACTTTATAGTTGACTTTCTTCTGTAATGTTTTATTCTGGATTGTGTTATTTGATGTTTTCACGTAGGCTGTAAATTGCTTTGAGATTTTTTCCTTAAAGAATTAAAGCAGTATAGAAATGGTGATGATGATGATAGTAATCATAATATATTCCCAAGCATAGCAGCTGTTGAATTTATAAGCTTAAAATGAAATAAAGATAGAGAACAAACCTATTGAATATGATTCATCTCTTTGCCTTACAATTTAGCAATTCTCAACATTTGGATGTTTGTTTGTTTTTTAAGATCCCTTAAAGTCAAATTTCCAAAGCAATGTTTGAAAAATTCAGCATGGCAAAATGAATATTTCATCCTACCTTGTTCTCCCACATGTCAATTAGTATGATAGTTGCACTTTCACCATCTACCAGCAAGGTTCGTTCATAGGTATCTTCTAGAAGAAAAACAACACAGTGTCATTTTTTTAAAAAAAATGTTATTGAAAGCTGGAGAGAAAGCTGTTGGAAATGTCATAGGCTGTTATAAAGAAGATTCCTATTTAGGATCTCCCAGCAATCCTACAACTGTATAAAACAAATTAAACTGGTGTAAGAGTGTGCAGGCTTTGGGGTTGCAGAGAACTCTTCATCAGACAAACCATACCTGTCCACACAACCTAATGGAAAGCATTCTCTGAAACTCAACAGCTGAGATGTTTTTGAGCCAACATAATTTTGCTCTGACAACAAGTTATTATTTTGGATCTCCTGTGAATCTATTGCAATGATGAAAAATATATCAGGATTTGTTTGTTTCCATCTGGGAACCAAATGCAGCCTTCGTATAAGGTCAGATAAAAATCCATTGCTTTGCAGCTTCTGTGTGGATAGCAATCTATCAGGGGTGCTCTAGCAGTAGATTTCCTGCATCAGCAGAGGGTTGGACTAGACCTTTAAGGTTTTTACCAAATCTGTGATTCTATTTATACCGACAATGCAGTACTGCTGACCAAAAATGTTTTTATTAACTTTGTTCCTTCCACTGCATCTTCTAAGACTTGCAAATAGCTGTGTGTTGGGGGGGGGTGTATATAGTTCTTTCAGTTCTGATGCAAATCTTCCAACAATTTGTCATTAAAATAACAATTTCTGGCAAAGATCTTATAGTTTCCATGAGCTACACGGACATATAATTTCCTTTGTAGACAACACGAAGCTGTTAAGACAAATGATTACATTCACTCTTCTGAAGTTATCTTTATCCAAAGGAGAGTAATAAGAGCAGGAAGAAGAAGAAGACCCACTGGAAGAAATAAGCCAAATACTGAACGTTTGACCCCATGGGAGCTTCAGACAGACGCAAAGGCTCCAGCTAGGCTTAGTAATGGAAAATATTTGTTTTCACTCAGTTTATGGGTGAACAGGCATTGCCGCTGCGCGCAGCTTTCGCCTGGGGCAAAAGTGTGTGGAAAGCAAAGGGACGCTGGCCTTTCTTTTTTTTTCCAAAAAGAGACAAGCAGTTCCCATGTAGGATGTTCAATCGGCAATAACTCTTCCTTACATTAGTGCTTCTTGCTAAATATGATGAATGTGCGAAAACGCCAGACACAGCAATGTATTTCCTGCAAGTTTCTTTCATCTGTGATCCATGTCCGACTATCTTTAGGGGAAGGATTATGTACTAAAGCCAACCTATAATTCAGAGAATTTAAGAGGCCCCAGGTTTGGTCTATAGAAGCTCCCCAGACAATATGATAAATTGATTCCCTGCCCCCATCTCTGCAATCTTAATTCCTTTCTCTTCGTTTTTTTCCTTTCGAAAGTTGGGGCCCCATCTGCACTGTATATTTAAAATGGCATCAAAACAGCCATGGCTTCCCCAAAGAATCCTGGGAACTGCAGTTTGCTACGGGTGCTGATTCCAAGTCCCCTTAACAAACTACAGTTCCCAGGATACTTTGGGGGAAGTCGTGTATTTTAAATGCATGGTGTGTACGCAACCAGTGTTGGTACTCAATGGTCACTGAGCATTAGACTGTTTTCATGTTCCCCTCACCCCCTAGGAGTCCATCACAATTCCCCCACCCCCCATTTCTGTCCACCTTACTTCAAGCTGTTGATGAGACCCTCTTGAGTTTTGGTTATGTAAGCAACAATAGTCTAGGAACATAGGAAGCTATCTTTATACTGAGTCAGACCACATCAGTTGTGTGCCTTGTTTCTCAATTTGATCATTTTACATGGTTTAGAATATTTTGTGGTATTTTATGCATTGTGATTTGCTGGGTTTTTTTTAATTGAATATAGATTAGTAATTTTTTTATTGCGGTTGATAAGTGCAAACTGTTTCATTATTATTTGCCGGTGTTTAATTTTGCTGTTTGCTATTAGATTCTGATGGATTGTTGAATGTTTCTTTGTTTGATATAAGTTGCTTATTTTAAAGTTATTGTGACTTTTTATATTGGATCAGATTGTTACTATTAGCGGCTGATGTTTTTATATGCATTGGAAGCCACCTAGAGAGGCTGGGGCGGGGTATAAATAAATTTTAAAAATATTATTATTATATTATGGGTCCATCTTGCTCCATATGGCCTACACTGATGAGCAGTGGCTCTCTAGGGCTTCAGGAAAGAGTCTCTCCTAGACCTAACTGGAGATGCCGGGGATTGAACTTGTGACCTTCTGCACGGAAGACAGATGCTCTACCACTGAGCTAGAACCCTCTCCCACTGAAGACTGGAATTAGTATATATGAGGACAACAGAATGCACCCAGTAAATCCTTCACAATACCACCACAAAATGGAGAATCACCTTCAAGCAGAGGATCCTGGTGTTGTGTGTGTATCTCTCCATCTTCCCCTTCCAGTCTCCCCTCCTTCCTCATAGTAAACAAAAGCAGCCCAATGCCTATTAGCTCAAGGAATAACTAATATCCGAGGCTCTCCTTTTAATCACACAGTAAGACCTGCTGGGGAAAGCCTCTGGCAAAGAGCAACCAAGCTCTCTCACCGTGGTGTGACTCGTACAAGAGGATTTCCAGCCTTTATCTCCTGTTAGCTTGTCAGTGAAAGCAGCAGCAAACCCTGCCAATGCTTCATGGGAACAGTCCACTTGCTGGAGCCGATGTGTTTGTGATGTTCTCTTGTTTCTTTATTATGTATACAGTGGTACCTCAGGTTACATACGCTTCAGGTTACTGTTGTGGGTGAACATATCAGACGACACAGCGATTCTTCAAACAGCTCTTGTTTATTCACAGGCCATAACAGAACTGAACTGAAGGGTTCAGCCAGCCTGCTTATATAGAGCTCCACTACAACGCAACAGTAACCATTTTCTGTAACTATCCAATCACTGAATGTCACTTCCAATCCCTTATTTGCATATGTGGGCCTGAGTGAAAACTATCTACAGTATCCCCCTGCTGGCCCAGGGTGAGAACTTCAGTACATAACAGTTACATACGCTTCAGATTACATACTCCGCTAACCCAGAAATATTACCTCAGGTTAAGAACTCTGCTTCAGGGTGAGAACAGAAATCATGCAGCAGCAGGAGGCCCCATTAGCTAAAGTGGTGCTTCAGGTTAAGAACAGTTTCAGGTTAAGAACAGACCTCCAGAACGAATTAAGTACTTAACCCAAAGTACCACTGTATAAATGTGATGCCACACAAGCCTTGTTGAAAGGCAGAATCTCAGTGGCAATTAATTGAAACAAGTCCAGCTGGCAATAAATAAATAAATAAATAAATAAGCAAGTGTTTGGTCACTAATGTGGCTCATCTGCCTCTTGCAGACGGTGCAACGAATGTAAATTTCACCTTTGTGCAGTGGGCTACATTTTATGCACACACACACACACACACACACACACACACAGCCCCCTCTATCCTCCATCCAGAAAAGCAACAGCAAGGGTGTTGTTAAAGAGTTCAGGGACCAATTCCAGCCAGGCAAAAATGCTCAAAGAGAGTGACAAAAACAGCCAGTTCAAAACACATTAGGGGGTGGTGGGTGGCCTGAGGGTAAATAGAGAGGCTTGGAGAACCAGGTCTGAGGTTCCCCCACCATGCTCCTCTAAGAAAGGCAACAGCATCAGGTGAAATAAAAGTAGAAGAAGGGAGGGGGGAGCCTGAAAGAGGCCTGAAAGAGGAGGTGAAGGGAAGGTGGGGAGAACAGTGAGCAGAGAGGAAAAGGCAGCAGGCAGACAAGTGGCAATAGAGAGGGATGTGAAAGAAGGCAATAGAAGAGAAAGTGGCCATGAAGCCTGTTAAGTTGTGGTTGGACATATCAGACGACACAGTGATTCTTCAAACAGCTCTTGTTTATTCACAGGCCAGAACAACTGAACTGAAGGGTTCAGCCAGCCTGCTTATATAGAGCTCCACTACAACGCAACAGTAACCACTTTCTGTAACTATCCAATCACTGAACGTCACTTTCAATCCTTATTTGCATATGTGGACCTGAGTGAAAGCTATCTACAGTATTCCCCTGCTGGCCCAGGGTGAGAACTTCAGTACATAACAAATCCCACAGTGGCACCCTGCCAGTCGCTGCTGAGTAAATAGAGAGACGATAAAAAGAAACTCCCTATGAGTTCCTAGCAATGCTATATCATTGCTCCCAAATGCCTGCTACTACAAATATCATTACTACTAAATGCTCTTTGAATTCAACATTTTGGGATTAATCATGTGTGCTATTAGCACTGTCCAGGGATAATAAAGGGTGGGACTCACCTAGCACCTGCCCCATCAGCAGAAGCCCTGTGCAAGGACTGCTGTTTTTTGCCTCCACTCCTCACCCTGCAATATTGGCTGGGGGGGGCATTCAGAGAGCCCCCAGCACAATGTGCAGGAGGGAGGAGAGCGGGGAATCGTTCCACGTAGCAAGCTGTGATGCTTGTGCAGATGAAATGTTATTATTAATTATTATTATTATTATTATTTATTAATTTATTTATTTATACCCCGCCTATCTGGCTGAGTTTCCCCAGCCACTCTGGGCGGCTCCCAATCGAGTGTTAAAAACAATACTGTACAGCATTAAATATTAAAAACTTCCCTAAACAGTGCCACGTTTAATTCCACCCCGAAGAGCAGTACTGTAGTCAAGTTTTGCAGACCCAGTGAAAGTAATGAACATGACTAAGTTAGGTGTATTCATTTCAGTGGGTCTACTCTGAATAATATTTAGTTGAAAACCACCCAGAAAATGAAAATGTGAGAGTGGGCTCCATGTTGCAAGCTAGGAATGAAAGCTATAGGATTCCGTTGTTCAAACTTCTCTTCATGCAACCTCTTTATTTTGCTAACTTTCTAACTCTGTTGTCATATTGTTAGGAATATTGCAACAGGGTTGTTAATTTAGATCAAGACCAGTACTAATCTTGGAAAGCTACGTTTATTTTCTCATTTTCTCTTTCTTCCTTATTTCTTGTCGGATCAACTGTGATTTATAGGAACTTTACTTCTGCCCTAAGAAAACATTTCTTAAGCTTGTAGCTGTTGTGTTCTATATGTGACAATCCTACTTTGCATATCAGTCTAATCTGTAGCATGTAAACTTTGTTAAAGTCAGTGGTCACTTAAGTCAGTCTGGTTTGTAATTGAGAATATTTGAGGAGAAGGCACACACTGATTCGAAGCAGGGAGCACTCGCACAACCAAAGGCCCAGTGATAAATGGACTCCACAGCTACCACTATTGGGAGAAGCTGTCCTGAGTATCTTGTGGAAATGACAGGATTTTTTGTTTTAAAAATAAATAAATATGTGGAAGATTTGATTTTGGTGCGGTGTAATAAACCCTATCTCCTTCCTTTATGCAGACAGGGGGGAACCTCAGGAACAGGGGCCAATGAAGTCCTTCAAGTGTCTCTATCTGGCCCTTCAAACTCTCCCTGCCCACCCCCATCCCTCCAGGCCATCCCTCTCAAAACCTGCTTTGCACCTTCCTTGGGTGTTTTCCCTGTCTCTTTGAATTCTGATAGTGGCTTGCTTCTTGCCTAGATGGTTGGACAGAGAGGGCTGTGTGCAGAAATCAACCTACTACTGCATGAAAGTGTTCCTCCTCCCATTTTTGTCTCTGGTGCCCCACCCACCAGTCCCATCCTGGCCCATGGGAAGCTGCCCAGAAGCAGAAGCAGCCCTTCCGTGGGGAAAAGGTTCCCCACTCTGCTTCATGTGCACTTGGCCAGATTTAAAGCACTGACAACAGAGAATCTCCTCCCACCATCTCCACCGTAATCTCCACCCTACATCACTGGGCACCCAACGTGCCAAAATCGCCTTGGAGGCTAAGAGCCAAGGGAATCACGGCCTCAATATCAGGAGCTCCAAGTTCTCAGAGCTAATCGCCGCTTACACAAGAGGCTTTAAATAAACCTCTGCAGCGTGGAATGTAATGACTTACCTCCGAGCACCTCGCAGTCACTGTCCATGCTGTCGTGCACGCCTGCAAAGATGTTGGCAATGGTTGTCTTGCCAACTCCTTGCTCCCCGATGAGTACCACTCGGTAGTAGGTGTTTCCTGACTCGGAGGAGATGACAGAGTCAGAAGACTCCGACGACCAGCTTCTTCGGTAATACTCTTCGGGGTTGACGGTGTACCTTTTGTGTCGGTTGCACTCGTGGGGGTCTTTCTGGACCACCAGGTTTCTCCCGTCCGCTGGGATGCTCCAGCGTTGCTGCTGCGATTGTAAGGTGTTGCTGCTGTGACGCATCGTGACATTGTTCAGAGTCATGGCTTTTCCCAGCCCTGGTTAAAAAAACAACAACAGTAAAATCACAAGTGTTATATGTACCGTTGAATTTCTCTGTCCCATATCTGAACAGGTGAGTTCTTGAGATCTGCAAATACTTGACACCTGGAAGTGTCAATGGTGCTGCTAGGAGTGATGATAATAGGAAGTACCTCTTGAAATTATTTCTTATTCTGAGATCTTTTTGCTGTTTGCACATGACAACAGCACTCTCCCACTTTGCAAACCTTGCACATTCATATGTACTAGCAGCAATCTAAAAAGTGGACATGTGGTCCATGTGTGATTGATGCTCTGAATCAGTGCATTGCTCACCTCTCATGGTACTACAGCATCTGGGGGGGGAAACACCCAAAGCAGCCAATAAACTTGGTTTTACACCATACAGAAGAATGACTTCAGGGTATTTCTTCATAGATGTGTCAGAGGCTAGGGTGTTAGTTACATCATTGGGTCTCCCCCCTGCTTTGGTTTTCCTAAATACCTCAATTCCTTTTTTCCGCCCCTTAAAGGATCAGTTAGGAAGAGGAAACACTACAAATAAGTAACCATAGTTTACTGCCCAAGAAGTCCAGTCAAACTGGGGAGCCCCTAATTCATCTCTGGAGCAGTAAGCTGGGTGCTCTCCCCTTGTCTAAAGATGGCTTTTAATTACACTTTGCAGGAAGGACTTTTTAGTGTTGGTGGGCGGTACAATGCAGCGAGTTAATTCCTGATGGCCACTCTCATTTGCAGCTACCATTTTTAGGAAAGTTGCTTTGATGCTCTCCAGCTCCCAACATGACAGCTAAGTTAGACATTTTGCTTATTCAAGCTTATGCTTGAGTTTTCTCAGTTCACATCACTTCTCTCCAGCTAACAAACAGAGCACTTGCCCAAAAGATTGTTGAAGGCCATTTCCAAAATTCAGATGCAGAAGCATTCACAAGTTCAACTCTTTTTCAAGCAATGCACTTGTTTTGCCATTCAGACAAGCTCCATGAGAACTTCCTCAGGAGGCTTCCAAACAATTTAAAAACATAAATATGCAGCAAAGAAGGAAACTCCACTCCATGACATTTCAGGTGCACACATTTTCATGCATTTTGCAGCAACCTGCAAAGCTATTATATTTGGCCTTGCCTGTTGTTTGGGTTGAGAGATGCAAAGGAATGCTGGTCAGAAAGAGAAACAGCATTCAATGCAAATTTAGACTATTCCTTTTCTCCCTTACTGACTAGTCACTTCAACTTTTTCAGCCAAAGATGATAGTGAACAGATATCAAGCTCATCTCTGTATATGTGACATGAACACATTTACTACTATTTTGTGGCTCTAGTTAACACTGTGCTCTCTAAAAAGGGATAGAATAAGATGCCTTTCCTTTGATGCATTTAGAGCAGTCTCGTTGCAATGTGCAGCTAACTATGCTGTTACTTTAATAGTCTAACCAAGAAATAAAGTTTGGTCTGACGCAAATTCTGAACACTCTTTCAACTTGCACAATTTTTGTCTATCTACTCACATGCCAGCAGTGCAAAAGCAATGCATTCGAATCAATGCTCATTAAAGTCAACACTACCTTGTTGCTGTTTTTACTCTCTGTTCCAACCACAGGCGACTCCGTTAATCTCACTCCCTAGTTCTCAGGAGAGTGTTGAACACCGATCCACTCTCCCACTGGAAATCCTTCTTCTGTCCAAGGGCTGCCTCTCTAATTCTTTCTCAGCAAACCTGGTTTATATTAAGCCCATCTGATCAGAGACAGGGCTTTTCCGTGACGTCGTTGGCCTGTCCGCCCAACAGCCAGCCCCCAGCTGGACGGAAGCAGGCATGCAGAAGAGAGAGAGAAAGAGAGTTACGATTGCTAACGAAACAATTTATATGCAGGGATACAGTCACTTATTCTGTATGTGCACATAATGCCGGTGGTGCGAGTACAGAACCTTTTTCACAAGAGCAAAGCAAAAAAAAGTGGGAGAAAGACATCCATAAGTTCCTTCTTGCTCTGCTCTAAAATGCTGGTGATACCACCGATTCTCAAAAATCACTTTGGACGCATTAACACAGGAATGTCGCAAACTTCTTAACTGACCTAAAGGCCATGCTAGACTGAAAATTACTCTTTTTCTACAATGTTATTTTAGTCTTTCCCCCTTAGATGAATAGAAGAATGCAACCTCCTCCTTCAACAAGAGAATAAATTGCGCAGAATATCCCATTTTTTTACCAGCATTGCTGCTCACAAGTTACAAAGGAAAACGCTACCAAGATGGCTCTTTATTGACAGTAGCGGCTCTTTATTTGGCCTGCATTCTGATTTGTTGACAGATAGGCTATACAATGTCATGTCAAGCAGTTGTTATCCCAAACTTTCTAAAGCATTTCCCCATCACTTCCTTTATAGCAAAAAGTCCAATTTGGGGTGAGGGTGGGTGGGAGCGGGTCCGGTGGGCAAGAACACCCAACCAACTTTAATTCCACAACCTTCATTTGCCAGTATGTGTTTGTCACTATTTCTGGGTGGGAATCAATCTGGAAGGTCCTTAATTGAGGATATATGTACACCATGGGTTTAAACCATTCCCTGTTACTTTATGAGCAGGGCTTGGGATCTCTAGTCAGGTATTCCTAGCACCCTCATCAAACTACAGTTCCCAGGATTCCTTGGGGGGAGCCATAATCTGACATGAAACTTCTGTAACTTTGTCATGCCAATTTACTGAGAGAGTTAAAAGCAACTAAGGCTGCAATCCTATAAACACCACCTGAGTGGGACTTACTTCTGAGAACACATGCATAGGATTGCATTGTTAAGCACCTAGCCCAAATGCCATTGGGGAGAAAAGACAGTGCATTCACCTGACACCTGAGGAGCAATTAAAGCAATTCAAACCACAAAGAACAGATGTGCTGGAGAAAAATGCTTGCAGACAGCAAGGAAAAGTTAAATCTGAACATCAGTTTCCTAGTTCCGTATCCCAAATGGTCTCCACAGCTGTATATTGGCAGGCACAACAAACAGGCCACAACTCTATCACCCTGATTTTGAAATGTTCATTTGATTAAAATGGCATCATTTTACTTATTGCAAATATAGGTTTGCTGCAAACTCACTTGCTTTGTTTAAACAGTGCTGTTCATTTGCTTTTGAAAATCGCTCGGCAGCTGATTTGTTTCTGCCGTGCTTAGAGACAGTGCTGAGATGGGATGTTACTGAAAGTACACTGGGTTCTTTGGCTGACTGTGCAGTCGGCGTCACTTCCAGCTTTGCAGGCGGTTGGTTGCTCCATTGCCTGCAGACCACATGGCTGACTGGGTGGTTGGAATACCTTGATATGGAGTTTGTGTTTCTTTGGCTATCGTTTAAGTGTACCCAGTTTCTAGTCTTCAGAAGAAGTGCAACCTGCCCTTTTCATCAGAAGAACCGAGACGATCACGCCTGTTGGATCTGTGCATTTAAAGCATTATCATCATTACGGAATGCTCACTAGCTGATGTGCAGGTACGGAGGGCAATGGCTGGACATAAAACTAAGTAGAATGGAATAGAATAGAGTGAAATAACCTGGAAGAATACATGCCTGATTGGCTGGAACACTACAGGAGCACTTCATGCTACAACATTTTGTTACAAGCCCCACTTGTAGAACACAAACGTTCTAAAGAATGGTTCCAGAATTTTGATTGCTGGCTGGCAGACTATTGGGTCCCTTTGTTTAAAATGTTATTTTGTCCATTGGTAGAATTCACAAGGACCTTGTTAGAATCCCACATATACATCATGAAATCCAGGAACCACTTTTCCCGAACAAGGGGTGAACACAGCCAGTACTTTAATGAAGGACGCGATCAATAAATGCCAGCAGCTCCAGCTCTCTTGGCTTTGTTCCCAGTTACGCCAAAGGAGCCAGGAATGAGTGGCACAGCAAAGAACAGCAAGAGCAACAATTGCGCATAGCAAGAGACGCACACACAGCCCACTCTCTTGAGTAATGAGTCAATTGATCTGAGAAATGCATAGCAACAAAAGAAAGAAACAGATCCCAAGACTCGGGCCTCGTGAATAATAATAAAAATTCCCCTATAGAGTTCTCCTAGTGCCATCTCATATGGGGAAACCAAAGGTTTTATAAGCTTATTAAAAATGATTTACAAGAGTAAAAGTTCATCTGGTATGTCAGCCTCCTGTCTGGCTCAGAGAGTGTGTAGTACAGTATTTTATCTTGCATAAGACAGAGGACACCGAAAGGGAGGTGGGCTGGCTGTGCTGTGCTGAGCTATCAATTCCACATGGCCAAGGTATTAATGTGTGAAGGAGACCAAAGGCATTGTTAAGCTTACTAACATAACCACCTGATATATTTTGCAATTTTTCTAAAGCAGAGGAGCTCAGAACTGATCTGATTTTGAGGCAAATCACAAGCTTTAAGCTTTGGGCAATCTTGTTAGTTTAAAGCAAAAGTTGGAGAAGATAACATCACTCCCATAACGGCAAACGCTTTGGAAACACCGCCTGATTCATTTTAACCGACTCTTGTCAAGATCACAAAAGTAAAAAAAAACAAGCTTACCGCAGACATGGCCCAGAGAGGGTAATCTACCCCTGCAATCAAACTGGAGATAATTCCCTCACAATCTCCACCACTTGTAGACAGGAAGGAAAATATTTTGGTCTCCTAGTTACAACCACACGCCCATAACTTCTGACACCAGACTGCTACTATTCGTAACCCCAAACTATATTATTCTCTTCCTGCCAGATCACAAGTAGCTGTTTCCTGAGAGTCATTTTCTAAGCAGGAATTTTTTAAAGAAATACATCAATGAATATACCTAGTACATCTTCCAAGGAGCTCCCAGTGGCTTATAAAAGCTGCAGCTCCTGATAAGGATTTGCCTCTGCCAGTGAGCCCTCGCAAGCATAAATGGCAATGGTGTCTAGAAGCAACAATAGCCATGTTCCAAACAGAGCCAGACCGCTGTGTTTAGCTCTTCTCATTTGAAAGTCGTATCTTTCAAACTTCTCTTTTTTCCCCTTCATTATTTAATATAGCAGCCTTCAAACCTATTCACTGCTATTATCGCTATCTTCCTGTCCTATTCCTGAGAGTGGCAAAGGTGGACACTGTGACATATTCCATGGTCTGTGTTCGCATGAGCTCGAGTCTGGACTGAGGATTCTGATTCGATACACGATATCCAACCACGTAGCATTATCAGGATTTGGGCTACTGGCATTGGTTCCTAAGCTCTGAGTTACGATTTGAAGCTCAGAATTTTAGACAGCCAATCACGTTGAGAGTGGGAGTGGCCCAGACCTTCAGAAATGTATATAAGCAGCTGCTTTGCCCTGGTTATCCTGTTCTCTGTTAGCTCAATAAAGTCTCTTGCTGTTAACGCTGTGTGTTGCTTTGTAGAGACCCACGTATACAGTGGTACCTCGGTTTAAGAACAGTCCTGTTTACGAACGATTCTGTTTACGAACTCTGCTAAAGCGGAAGTAGTGTCCCGGTTTGCGAACTTTACCTTGGTCTAAGAACGGAATCCGAACAGTGGAAGGGCACCGGCGGCGGGAGGCCTCATTAGGGAAAGTGCGCCTTGGTTTAAGAACAGTTTTGGTTTAAGAATGGACTTCCGGAACGGATTAAGTTCGTAAACCGAGGTACCACTGTACTTCAGAGACCTTCTCTGGTCTCTTGGCCCAGTCGCACTTCTTTGAAGTCTAATTGTTATGTAGGGGGCATTTTCAGTGGGGACGGTCCTGACAGTTGAGAAGAGGGGAATTAATTTTTTTCTCCCCAGTTATGACTACACCCCCCACAGCTGTTTGGCTTGGGGGGGGGAACTACCATATGTTTCAAGGCTAATTTCAGGGGTGGGGCATTAGAGAACACTCTGTGGGTATCAGAGAACAGTTCTGTAGGCACCCATGCAGCTGTGGGCACTATTCTGGTGACCCATGCCTTAATAATGAAGCCATCACAACTGGCTTTTAAACTCCTGCACACTGTAGCTTGAAGGAAGCCCACTATATACAGATATTTTATTTTTACTCAATTTTTATTTATTTTATTAGCATCACCTGACAATATGTCCCTGCGTACAAACTAGACTCAATAGTAATCCTTCTGGCTAGTGGCTGAAAAGAAACACCTTAGCTATTTATAATCAGGGACATCCCCAAGTAAGCTGAGAAAATACCTTGACCTAGATGAGCAATTGAGTAGTGGCTGTAATTCATGCCATGAAGCATTTCCACACAATCCAATCACCACGAGGAATTGGTGAACTTTGCACACAGCACAATGTACAGCATCTTTTTTTTAAAAAAATATGCTTTGTTAACCCATTTAGTGATCAATTTTTATACTGTTGTTCATCACTTATGTGTTTTATATTGAGCAGTTTATACATTCTTTAAGTAAATAAAAATAAAAATTGTGCTTAGGATTGCGCTTTTACATAGATTTGATACACTGTACCTATTGTTTTTCACTTTAGCTTTTTTTTATTAAAAAACTAATTACATGCACCTGTGCTTCCCAGTACATGTATTTTTAAAAGTTCAGCTTGTTTAAACAGTTTGCCGTACACTCCATCACTGTCTGTTCCCTTTGAAAAAGCTGCTATGTTATTTGTGGTGAACAAGAGGGAAAAGGATACATGTCACTGGGAAAGCTGAGTTGCCTCAAACACAAAACTATGTTGCAGATTTCCTTTAACCAATTGTAAAATAACAACAAAAACCGCATATACAAAGATTCCTATACAGGTAGAGTTTTACTGTGAAGGGTCTTATTTCTGAAGAATTACTCTCGGTATTTGTAGATTCAGGTAAGTAGCCGTGTTGGTCTGACACAGTCAAAATAAATCAAAAAATTGTCCAGTAGCACCTTAGAGACCAACTAAGTTTGTTCTGGGTATGAGCTTTCGTGCACATGCACACTTCTTCAGATACACTGAAACAGAAGTCACCAGATCCTTATATATAGTGGGAGGGTGGGGTGGGGGTTTTCTCAGAAGAGTAGTGGGAGATGGGTGATTGACTTAATGGGTATGGTAAAGTTTTTATTTTTTAACATATAAAGGTATTTATATAGGTGAATGTAATGTTTTACCTGTCTGTAAACTATTGCGAATTCCTGCTGAAAGCTGTGGAGGTAGAGCAGGAGACACAGGGACAGAGGAAGGGGATGCAGTGGGGGCGAACCGCCCCAAGTCTTTTCGCTGGGGGGGGTGACATTTGGCACGCCACCCGTCCACGACTCCCAAGCCTACCCCGAGCCGTCAGGGGAAGAGGGGAGCTGTGCCGCTTTGCCAGCAGCAATCCCCCTTCCCCCTTCATTTTGACAGCTTGGGGGAGGATTGGGAGTCGCGGGCACACGGTGCGCCAAATGTCCACCATGGGTGGCTCGCTCTGCCCCAGGCTGCAGGGCATGCGCACCACTCCAGGCACCCAAGCAGCTATCATGCACCTGGGAGGGTACCCTCCGTGCCACACACCCACCCTGGGCAGCGCGGGCATATGCCCTGCCACTGAGGAGAGACTCCTGAGGGAAGAGGTTGTGGACCTGATGGAAGACTGCAAGCATAGTAGTCCTCAGTGCCTAGATGAGGAGTGCTAACTGGGAAGAGGTGGTATAAAGAAGTTGGCTTTAGGTTTAAATAGAACTGAGGTTTGCACTACCATCATTTCAAGTGGACAGGAACCCTATACAGTGGTACCTCGGGTTACAGATGCTTCAGGTTACAGACTCCGCTAACCCAGAAATAGTACCTCGGGTTAAGAACTTTGCTTCAGGATGAGAACAGAAATTGTGTAGCTGCAGCAGGAGGCCCCATTAGCTAAAGTGGTACCTCAGGTTAAAAACAGTTTCAGGTTAGGAACGGACCTCCAGAACGAATTAAGTTCTTAACCTGTATAACAACTGTAACAAAGCAAAGTTAGCGATTTGGTTTATAAACCATACATATGAACACCACCATATTTTATATTAATAACTATTGTACATAAAATATTGTTTTCACTTTTATTTGGATCACTGTGCTATTTTAGCCAATTCTTAACCATAGTTACTGTTGGATAAACTGAGGCAGAAGATAAATTGCATTGAGATACATGGTGGTAATGGTAACAGCTTGATCCAGCCATACAGGAAGTTGCGCAAGGCACTCTTTCCAGAAAAATGCTTTAAGCACCCAATTTAAATTTTAGCTGGTCACTTTTTTAATGTAATTACAACTGTGAGGTATAAGCAGGCTTGCACTGTGCTTTAAATGGGTGGACACCTTTCCTCTTATTGCTTTAGCTCACACCAGGCTCAAAAACTCCAAAGGAAGCAAAGGTATTTTGACAGCAGCAATTCACCTTCCTTTTCTGGAAGTGTATGGGGGAAAACCAGCTCCAGATTTACTGTAGCTACAGAATAGGGTCACTTTGGCTGCTATCTTGCAGGAGTGTTTATTTCACTAATCCTGCAAGCCGTAAATATTGGACGGTTGGCATCACAGGCTGGAAAAACAACATGAAACATGAGCCTTGATTTAAGATTTTAATGCTCCTCCTGAACCACTAACAATTTTGGGAAGATCTGATGTGTCCCTGAGCAGGCAACGCTGAATTGCAGGAGCTGCTTTTTTCTCCCACATTCTGCCCAGCCAGCTTTGCCTACTTCTGCATGCTTAAACGCTCAAGAATGTAGTAATATATAAGAGCCCTGCTAGAACAAAGGTTTATCTAGTTCCCACAGTGGGCAAACAGAGCTTCAAGGCAATCACTCTTTTTCGGTGTTGATCCCCAGCGCTGGATGTTCAATGGCAGACTATAATGGAGATTCCATATCGCTATCATGACTCATGACAAATAAAGGGAAAGGGAAAGGACCCCTGACAGTTAAATCCAGTTGCAGACGACTCTGGGGTTGTGGCGCTTATCTCGCTTTACAGGCCGAGGGAGTCGGCATTTGTCCGCGGACAGTTTTTCTGGGTCATGTGGCCAGCATGACTAAGCCGCTTCTGGTGCAACAGAACACCAAAACCAGAGCAGCGCATGGAACCGCCGTTTACCTTCCCGCCAGAGTGGTACCTATTTATCTACTTGCACTTTTTGGTGTGCTATCGAACTGCTAGGTTGGCAGGAGCTGGGACCGAGCAACAGGAGCTCACCCTGTCGCGGGGACTCGAACCGCCAACCTTTTATCAGCAAGCCCAAGAGGCTCAGTGGTTTAGACCACAGCGCCACCCGCGTCCCGACAAATAGTCATGACAAATAGCAAGTGGTAAATCTATCCTCAGTGACTATGTCTACTAATCCTCTTGCTTCTTCCAACAAAGCACTTTCCATATTCTTTATGTCATTGAAATTCTACACAATATTGATCCAGAGCAGATTCCAATGTATAGTTAGCAGAGTAAAAACTTAAATACGTTGCAGGATTGCCCAAAAATAGACCAGAGGCATTTCATCTAGCAGAGCTTTACTGCTACTGAAGGCAAATGAGCATAATGGTCATAAATCCAGTACGTTCAGGATTGGTATTGTCCATAAGAAATAAAGTTGCAGCAGACTTAACTTCAACTTACAAATTTATGAGGAGACTAAACCTTAACACTACATACAGAACACCAGAAAGAAAAAGAGATAG